TATTGCAATGACATTTCCTTTGTTTAATAACTGATTTGATCTTTAGCTGGACCGTCAGGGTTTGATTTACGATTAATGATTAGGCTGGGCTATCGTTGTTAAGGCTTTACTTTTGATCATCCTATAGTAGATATCACCTAGGACTAGGGATACCCTATAGGAACCAGAATAATTCTTGATAATTGATTGCTTAATCTCACTTATAATTCTCTATGGACATAGGAATTAGGGTAGATGATTAAAGGGTTTCTCACTAAGGAATCAGGAGTAAATATTCTTAAGAATCGGCAATTAGTTAGTTACAATAAGTTGTTGCAGTGTTAATTCAGGGTTGTTACTGAGTCAGATCATACACCTTTCTTGGCATGTTACTCATATATTGTAAACCACTTAGTCAATTTTTCCTTTTTACTTGAAAATATTTTTATAATCAAACCAAAAGATTTGAAAACCCCAAGTGCTTTTGTTCAATTAAATTATTTTATAGCTTGTGTTTCCTATACAGTCCTCGAGATTGATATTCGTGGAAATTTCCCTTATTGCTCCATTGGCAAAATAATACACTTGCTATTTTTCTAATCAGAGGTGTCGGAATCGACTTCCTCATTGATTACTATGACATCCTCGGCCCTTGCGGCTATTTTACCTGAAAAGTAAAGGAAAACAGTGAATTTGACATCTAAGATCAAATCCACCCTTCCACCGCAAATCAAGTGAAAGGGCGAAGAGAGGGGCGAGGTGCCACTCGACAAACTTCCCCAACCATAACACCCACCGAGGAAAACTTATCCATGAGGACACTCTACTCGGCGCAGAACAGTGAACCCCCTCCTCGCTAGGAAGTCTCATCCACGAGGAGACTCTCCTCAACGCGAAACGACAAGCCTCCCTCTTCGGTAGTGAGGCTCCTCGACGTGTAAAACCCCTCCAATTGAACGTGGGAAGCCTCCTCGACGAGGGGCACCCTCGCGACGTTCACGCGTTCGCGAGGAGAAGGGCTCCCCAAGACCTTCACCGAAGGTCCCCGAGGCCTTCACCGAAAACCCCATGAAGATCCCCAGAATCGTCATGAACTCCCTAACATCTTCATCAGAAACTGCATGTTCCGCCGAAAACTTCATGAGATTCATCGAGAACTTCATCGGGTCACCGGAAACTTCATGGGGTTTACCTGGAACTTCATCAGTTCACCGGAAACCTCATGGAATAGACGGAAACATCGTCGGAAAGTTCATAAAATCTGGAGAAAAGGCCAAAGACTTACTTGAAGGAAGGAGATTCTGGATGGTGGAGGGAGGCTAACGGCAGCTGCGATGACAAACACGTTTTGGAGAGCACGGAGAGTTGTGAGAGACTTGAGGAAAAATGAAAGGGGAACGTGCAAATGAAGCGGACTTCCCCCGTATTTATAAATCCTAGCACGGGAAGCGAGACATCTTTAGGCACTCAAGTACCCCCATACTCATAGTCGCCATATGCATTTATTACTCTTGACATGTGGCCCTAGAGGACACCACGTGTGTCCCTTCAAATCCTTCTCCTGCTCGGGACCAGACATACCCGTTCCCTTCTCTCTTCGTCACATCGTCGGCCACAATGCCCGACCCTTACGTTGTCGTGAACGTTCCGCGAGCACCTGTCCTGTCGAGTGGCTCATACTTCTGGTACACACATTGTCCCGCAAGCTCAGTGCTTCAGGAAGATCCTCGACGCTAGAACTAACTCTTAAGTCATCACTCCTCTGCTTCGGAGTAATGAATTATGGGGCTTCTGTTCTGGGTTGAGACAGAAGCTGCCCCATTATTGGACATAACCCAATCCATCTCTCCGTCAGGGAAGGTCCAAAGAGGGCTCAGTTCATCACATTGCACGGGGAGCGCTTACGCGTCTCCTCCACGGTCTCCACGTGCTCCCCACGCGGGGACACATTACCAAGCAACTATCCACCTTCTGAAGATCACGGGGTAGTTGACCCAGGGAGAAGACCACATGCTGGTCTTCCCTACGCCATGTAAGCCCTGACAGTTATTCGTATTGAGCCTAGCAATCCAACCCAATGCAAAGTAACCATTGGCCCAACGCTTAGAGCACATTATAAATACCCTCTTTCACTAGAGGGTCAGGTATTCTACTCTCTCACCTTCTTTTCTGTACTTTCCTTCTCTCACTTGCTGAAACTGATATTAGCATCGGAATGCCTTGCATGTACGCCCCCTCCTCTTCTCCACCATCGATGAATTAAGGAGTTCACGATGTGTTGCTGGCCGTTGATTTTTTTCTGATCTGGTAAGATCAAATTTGGAGTAGAAAACAAATATGATTATGTGATCATACAAGTGAGTGTTTTATCAAATTATTTCGGAAATATATTTCAAGAAATATTTGACATGCAAAATTGACAGAAATTTTAAAATCCCGCCCCAAACCTCTGTAGACGCATCTCCGGTAAATCCATTGGGTTGCTCAACTAATAATATATTTGTTGAAAATACTCGTAGATGTATCTCCAAAATTATTTTTTTTATGTTAATCTAAGATAACACTCGTTTGATGCGTCATAAAAGTAGTGCATGGTACATCCGAATATACATTTTTGAAATTTAAAAAACATTTTGAATTTTTCATAAAGTGTTTTTTCATCTCATATAATAGGATAAAAAATTCCGGTACGATAGATTTTTTTAGATTGATGTAATGAATATGTAATTTAAATGGTTCAATTTCAAATTAATGATAAAAAATATTTAATGTGAGATTTGTTGTATTTTATAGAACCATTGTTTTCTTCATGCGCCGTGGAAAAAATTTAACCTTACTTATCTACACCATTCACTAAGATCCACAAGTTGCTAGATCCAATGCTTAAGAAAAATGGTGTACCACCATGGACCACCTATGATGTGAAAAGTGTACATTTTAACAAAAGTAAAACAACACCAAAAATTTAACACAGCTCAAACTTAAAGCAATGTACATTTTTTTCTCCAAACCCATGAATATAAAGTTCATCATGGCATTGACTGATACACTATTATTTCTTTTCATTTGAAAAGTATCATGTTGACCCGGGTTAATGAATCATACATACTATATGGAATGTGAGAAAATTATACTATTTTATAAGAAAAGAATAAGAATGAGAAATTTGTAATATCTAATGAGAGACAACACAAATGTAGGAAACAAATAAACAAGTAAAGAGAATCTGTGAGGTAGAAAGAATTGAGAATAGTATAAAACATAAATAAAAATAGCAGGGTCCCCCCAGAGGATTCAAATGTGAAAACACAGAAAAGGAAAATGAAATCTAAAAGAAGTTCAAAATGAACTGTCTATGGGACCTACCTTACAGACTTTAGTAAACCTAACGTTGGAAGCAAATGGAAAATCTCTCATACACAGATGCATTTCATTCCTAAGATATCTACCATTTATATTTATATTGTCTAGTATAATTGCTCAACTACCCTCTATCTTTATATCTCATTTTTTTGGACATGGGGTTCATGCTATACTTCCCTTGCTTCCCCGTTACCTTTTTAAAGTGACAACAAAATTGTACATGTAGAAACATGGACCATGGATTCTTCTGAGGTCTATATCGGGGTTTTGGTGAAAACATAGAGTGGAACACTACAAAACTCCGCAAATAAAAAAAAAAAAAAGTTAGGACGGAGTGGACATATTTGAGAATTTGAATCTAAAATTTTATTCCGTCTCGCATAAAAGTGAGAGACGGAACGGACAATGAAACTTTTATTTTTAAAAATTATATGTAAAAAATTTTGCCCCTAAACATTTGTATAAAAAAATAGAGTGGAACACTACAAACACATCAAAAACTGTGGGTCTAAAATCTAATCCCGCCCAAAAAAAAAGATGGATAAAACAAACGAACTCGATCTGTCTGCAACCACCACTAATAATCATTGATAGTGAAAATATCTATTTTTTAATTAATTCTTATTTAAACTCTAATTTTATTTTATATAAATCGATGTATCTATGCACAAATATAAATACTAATCTTTAAATTAAAAAAATTATAATAAACAACAAAACTCTTCTTTAAAAAATTTAAAATATCTAACATTATTCTATGTTTAAGACTTCATTTAAACTCAAAATCTTTCATTAAGCAAGAAAACCCCTACATTTCATCTAACTGTTCTTGGTTACTTAAACTCCAAGTTTGTAACTTTATTATTGCAGCAATTTTCTTTTATGGTGAATAAAGAAACGGATACTAAAATAAATTCTCAGTATGTGTATGTACAACATACACAGAAATTAAACTCTATTTGCTGCACATTGAAATACATAGCGTTCAAAAATAATAAATTACATTTAAAAACACCATTCATTTGTACCATAAAGTTAGGTCCTAAAATTACGCTTTGATCCCTTTATGAATAGATACAGTAGAATACAACTAGAAAAATTACTATTTTGGTTGGTCCAAAGACTAAAATGGCATCTTCTTACTATATAACCATTGTATTCATTAAATTTAATTGTAAATTAATGAATAGACTCAAAATTGTGATTAACAAAAGAGGAAAAAGACAATAACATGATGATACTAGTGTTTTGTTTGATGAGAGAAAAAAGCATGTGTACACGTGCGCATGAGTTTTAAGACAGTTTTCTCTCTCTCTCTCTCTCTCTGCTTCTTCAGTCACTGCAGCACAACCTACGAAGTGAAGAAAGAAAATAGATTCACTCACACACCAAATCCTTAATAAACAATTGGAACCCATAAAAGAGAACAACCACTCTTCCACTCTGTCAAACGTTGTTTTCTTATGTTATGTTCTTCTCTTCAGACACAAACTAACTCATACATAGATATTCTCAAAGAGAGAGAGAGAAAGCATCTTAATGATAAGGTTTCATTCCACCTGTTCTGAAAATCAAGAATAAAATAAACAACTTTCTTCTTCTTCTGTTTCCTTTGTCCCTTCTTCTTCTTCTTGTTCTCTCTTCCATGAAACTGAAACATGACAATGGAAGAAGAACAAGTTTCCTTAGCAGGAACACTCCCTTTTGATAGAGCTGTTGAACAGGTTTCCAGTTTTTATTACCTTTTACTTTTGCCCAAAATTTGAAGAAATTTTTCGTATGCAATGTGCATAAACTAGTCCAAAATTGATTTGTGTTGCTATTTTCAGGCAATTGTATCTATAAAGAAAGGTTCATATTTACTCAAATGTGGTAGTAGAGGAAAGCCTAAGCTATGTCCTTTCAGGCTTTCTCCGGTATGCAACCGATTATTTCGACAATTACTTCTCAGAATTTCTCATGAATATGATTATGATTATGAAACTAACTTGTCTTTTTTATGATTCTCTCTAGGATGAGAGAAATTTGATCTGGTGCTCAGGGCAGCAGGAGAAGCATTTGCGGTTGAGCGGCGTTACCAAAATTGTTCAAGGACAAGGAAATAATGTATGTAACAAGCATCAATAATTTCTTGTTTGAATCACGTTTTGGTCTAATAGTTGTTATGGCTTATCATTTTCAGATAAGGACTCAGAAACAAAGCGAAACCGAAAAGGAATGCCATTCGTTTTCACTGATCTATGCTAATGGTGAACACTCTCTTGATCTGGTAATATTCTTGATGATCTACATTTGACATATAACTGCATTTGGTTTTCTATATCTATCTACCAAACTATCTATATAGTTTGATTTGTTTATTTTGACTTTAGATATGCAAGGACAAATCTCAAGCTGCTACTTGGTTTGTTGGATTGAAAGCAGTGATTTCAAGGTGCCAGCAACCAAAAGCTTTTAGTAGTTTAAGAAGCTGCAAAGGAGTGCAGAGTTGTGTTAGTAGTCCGGCCGGAATTTTACGCCGAAAGAAAAATCTCGGTCTTATAGACGACACCTCTCAATTTACTCAGGTTTCTTACATGTTCTTGAACTTTTTCACATATAGCTACTGATACGAACACTGGATATGACACTGATGCATGCACGTCAACACCGGTAATAATTTTAAAAAATGAATAAATTGAACATAATCAGTGTCAGTACTACAGAGATTATCATATCAGTACAAAATTTTGTCTGAAGTATAAAATATAACATTTTTCTTATGATTTTTTAGGTACATAGTGTATGTGCAAGTCCAAGTTTGTCACTTTCAGAAAGGTGTTTTTCTGATGGCATGTCATATGCATCTGATAACTTCTATTCGTCGGCATCATCGCTTTCCAGCATTCATGGTATAGCAGATAATTCAGTCCCAAGTTCGCCATATATTAATCCAGATATTCATAGCCATATTAAAACATCTCGTTTCGAAAAGGAGTACAAAAAGGATTTGTCATCATATAGATCGATCATGGCCCCTACCTCGCCACATGTAGGAAATAACAGTAGCAATGTGTTGAAGGATGTAATGATATGGGGTGGAGGAATTGGTTGCCTTGTAGGGATTGTGAATGAGAGATTTGTTCAAAATAGTAATTATTCTTTAGTGCCGAAGTTACTCGAATCCACGGCAATGTTAGATGTTCAAAATGTAGCTTTAGGAGGAAACCATGCTGCTATAGTTACAAAACAAGGTGAAGTATTCTGTTGGGGTCAAGGGAAGTGGGGAAGGTTGGGGCAGAGAATTGATATGGACACCAGTTCCCCGAAAATAGTTGATTCTCTTAGTGATATTCGTGTAAAAAACGTTGCATGCGGTGAGTATCATACATGTGCTTTGACGGATTCTGGCGAAGTATATGCGTGGGGGAACGATGTTTCTTGTTCGGGTTTGGTTGATGAAGGAAGGATTAGAAGTCAGTGGTTAACGCATAAACTTTCTTTACCTGTAGAGGGTATTAGTATTTCGAGTGTTTCTTGTGGCGAATGGCATACCGCTATGGTCTCTAGCTGCGGTCGGTTGTTTACATATGGAGACGGTACGTTTGGAGTGCTTGGACATGGGAATTATCAGAGCACTTCTAGTCCAAAAGAGGTTCAGTCTCTTAAGGGTCTATGTGTGAGGTCTGTTACTTGTGGAACATGGCATACGGCTGCAATCATCGAAGTCATTGCCGACCGTTTTAAGTACAATACTTCTACCGGTAAGCTGTTTACATGGGGTGATGGAGATGAAGGGAGACTCGGTCATTCTGATAACGGAAACAAACTCGTACCTACATGTGTTTCGCAGCTTGTCGACTACGATTTTGTTCAAGTATCTTGTGGAAGGACGATGACATTAGCACTTACTAGCATGGGGAAAGTTTTTGCAATGGGAAGTTCAAAGTTTGGACAATTGGGAAATCCACATGTTAAGGATAGAGCAGTTATCGTTGAAGGAATGCTTAAACAAGAGTATGTTAAAAAGATATCTTGTGGTTCATATCATGTTGCGGTTTTGACATCTTCAGGGAGTGTGTACACATGGGGCAAAGGCGAAAATGGACAACTCGGGCTTGGCGATACCGAAAACCGATACACACCTTCTTTTGTTGAGACATTAAGAGACAGGCAGGTAGAAACAATAACGTGTGGTCCAAGTTTCACAGTTGCAATATGTTTGCATAAACCAATTTCAATTAGTGACCAATCAAGCTGTAGTGGTTGTAGGTTACCATTTGGCTTCACAAGGAAGAAACATAACTGTTATAACTGCGGTCTTTTGTTCTGCGGCACTTGTAGTAGCAAAAAGGTTATGAACGCTTCTCTAGCCCCGGTTAAAAGCAAGGCCTTTCGCGTTTGTGATTCGTGCTTTGATAGAAAGCAAGGTAACAGTAGTGCACATTCAACTATGGACTCATCAAAGTCTAGAAATTATAACCATCAGCATTTACAAAAGCATAAGAACAAGAGTTATGATCTCACTGAAGATAGAGGTGAAACAAATGTGACAAACGGTCCTTTATTATCGCTTGGTCAATCGTGTTACCGGAAAAACATGCCTAGTGGAAGGAAGGTTTGGAAAAACCAACAAGAAAGCCAACAGGATTTAGAAGATAGTTCTTCTAAGTTTGGTAGTTTGCCACAATGTGGACAAATTCCATGTTCGGCACAATTTCGAAGCAATTGTACAGATAATTCAGCTGTGCATGATTCTTCACCACTCAATGTAGAATCCACAGATATGAAGTCTGATAAGTTACTCATAGAAGTTCAGAGGCTGAGAGCTGAGGTAATCTCGACTTTCGAGCACAATTTTTTTTCTGTATCATTTTCAATTGTAAACTAAACTTTCCATGTTCCTTATATTCTGAATGTATTTGCTTATTAAGTGCTATATCATTTCATTGATTTGCATAGGCTAGAAGACTTGAAAAGCAATGTGAACTCCAAAACCACGAAATACAAGAGTGTCAACATAAAATCGAAGAGAGTTGGTCTGTGGCGAAAGAGGAAGCTGCAAAGTGCAAAGCAGCAAAAGAGGTCATAAAAGCTTTGGCATTAAGGGTAAATTCTTTATTACTGTTATTGCTGTTTTTGTATAAGCCTCTATTTGGATAAACAACTTAATAAAACTCTGATAGCATAAACACTCATCATATGTCGTATTTGTAGCTTCACACATTATCAGGAAAAGATAATCATGGACTAGAACAAAAAGCCGGGCTACAGGAATTTCTTCCGAATTTGGCACAGATACATACAGATTCGAATACTCCAAGAAATACCAACATGGACAGTCTATCGAATTCACCTATAGTATTTTCCAGTGCATTAAGATCCAAATTTGGTAGAAGTATGCTCCTCAAAAATGACAATTCGATGCACAACAACGCTAGCCTCACCATACCAGAATCTCAACAAGACACTGCAGATAGCTTGAAGGCTGAATGGGTAGAACAGTACGAGAATGGTGTTTACATCACATTAATAACTTCGCCGAGCGGAGAAAAAGGACTTAAGCGCGTGAGATTCAGGTAAGACTTTCTATCAGGTTTTCGCTAACTAGTACTTTACACTTGAACTCTTTTTAGAAGGCTTTGCATGTTTATTGACAGCCGGAAGCGATTTGCACAAAAGGAAGCTGAAAGATGGTGGGAAGAGAATCAAGCAAAAGTGTATCATAAGTATGGAATTGAATGATATCAAAAGTAAACATTAGGTGAAACTTAAATTATTTACTTGCCATTCATCTCTAGCAGTTTTCACCATAGTTCTTGGTGTAGGAGGTGATGTTGGCTTCAGGACTTATAGATGAGAAGCTTATACTACAAGAAAGATCAAAGTGTTTTTTTGTATTTAAGCATCCTTAATTAATTCATGAATATTTTTGGGACATTCCATGATATGTACAGTCACCAATAACAGAGTGTCTCATAATTATTTATCTTCCATTTTGATGATATAGTAAGGTTCTTCAGTATTTAACCTTCATAAAAGATTAATGGTGAATTACTTTAATTGAGAAAGAAAAAATAGGCATATTAAGTTTGTGCATCCATGGTGAATCGAGCAGAGCAAGAGGAAGAATATTGAAAAACTAGTCGTTAGGACCACAGTTTTGAGAATCACCAGAGCATCATTATGTTTTAAATAATGATGCCTTATCATAATTTTTTTCAAATAGTAAGAAAAAATTATAATTCCATAATATACATAGTCTTCGTTTTCGATACTCTATAATTCTTACTGTAATTACTTGCAACTGTTCAATATACTTGATGAACTTGTTGGCACTAAACGAAATCAATCTTAATCCATGTAACAATTCATAATCCAAAATTTACTTTTTTTTTTTTAAATTTGTTTCTAGAATAATAGTTTACTAACATATTCCATGTCCCTTAGATCTTGATTTTTTCTTTAATATTCTTTCAAACTATTAAATCAATTGTTTCTACTTGCCATCCTTCAAAGTTGTACTTTGACTTGTTGTAAAATAAAATTGAAACATCATAGACGTCTTAGGTTAGCCGGTAGAGTGCGTGGCTTTTAACCATGTGGTCGTGGGTTTGATTTCTACAAACAACAAGATTTTGTTATTAAAAAAGGTTATGTCCTCGTTGAAAAAAAAATATTTTTAATAGTCTTTGTTTATAATAGGTCATCTAACACATCATGCATTCATTAACAACAAGCTTGATCCTCAAGGTTTTGGCTATGCAATCATCAGAATCACCATCTTTTGGTGCTCCCTATCATATGATTAGGGTTTATTTCCCTGATTATGTGGCTTTCAAGGGTTTACTTGTGAAGACTATTCATTAGTGCATCAGTAGGGGTTCATCAACTAACAATGTCATTTTCTTCAAGATTTCTCAAAAGACATCAAGTGTTGGAGTTTTGTCATGGATTTCAACTGAGAGGGCTTATTGCTAAGGTTTTGTTGATTCTCCATATCATAAGCTTATTCATCATTGTGCACCCAGTGCAATTAAGGTTTCTTGTCTTTTGTGTGAGTTTGTTGACTGAAGATGGTGGTTAGAGTTTCATGTTAAGGATATATTGCTATACTTCAAGTTTAATCATCTTCAAGGATTCTTCAATGCAATATTATGTGTTGACTTTCATGTCATGGTTATCTTGGTCATACTTCTTTCCACATTTCAAGACGTATCTTCATCAAAGGATTCATTGTGATCAGGCATTTTACTTGTTGCTTTTTAATGCAAGTTGATTTGGATTTGAGAATTGAAGTTGGCGTGGATTCATTGAAGAGAAGTTTCATTCAAGGGATTCCATGGGTTCAATTTAATTAGAATTGTCAAGGTTTGGTTGGATGTTTTAAGGGTTTTTTTTTGGTATTCAAGTAACAAAGACATACTTCATTATCCATTCATTTCAAATTCAAGTTCCATTTAATATCCAAAAAGTCTACATTTTAAACCACTTTTTAATCCGTCTACAAACCAAATCACTTTTCAAAGTCCACTTACTCAATTCAATCTACATCCATTTTTTAAACCAGTTTCAAATATCCATATTCATTTTCAAATCCAATTTTTCAATTCATATTCATTTCTTAAGTCCACATTTTAAGCCCATATTTAATATCCAAATCCATTCCATTCCAAACCCAAATATCCATTTTAAGACCATTCAAACCCAAATACGCAAATTTCATAATCAAATTCATACTCATCTCCATTACCAAAGCCAAATTTAACCATATCCAAATTTCAAATTTAATATCCAAATTTAACCAATATCCAATTACACCACACAAACTAAAGCTCCATGGTTATTTCACAAAAGTTACACAAGAAAGGCATTACAAAGTTGTAAAATACATGGAAAATCCTACTTTTTATCAATAGTTGACCTTTTGGTCAACTGTTGACTTTTGGTCAAATAGTTGACTAAACTTTCACAAATACTATAGACATATTCCTCTCTAAGTCCCTTCATCCAACATCTTCCATCCATCATCATGTGACCATAATGTCTCTACATTGCGTCGTGCCTTGAACTTCATGCAAATGCAAGCCTTTATTAACATTTAACACAAGCTGGCTGCAACAAAAAAAACTATACAAAAGCCATGAATGAAGAAGCTACAAAAAGATATAACAAGCAAAACAAAGCCACTTAATGACAGTCTTATCAACAAAAGTGACACACATCATATTAACATCCTTGGTTAACATTTTCAGCTAACATATTGCAATTCGAGATACATTAACACCATATAAAGAACAGATTCACATCACAACAAAAATTCATAACAATCATTTCCAATCCAAACAATTTACAAACTCATAATAGTTTTTCCACCTTGGATTGGAAATGATTGTTATGAATATTTGCTGTAATGTGAATCTGTTCTTTATATGGTGTTGATGTACGTTGAATGCACACATATTTTTTATGACAACAGGGCACACTTTTATCCTTTTGAAAACTAACCATTGTCTTACCCTAATTTTTACTCCTAAAATACCACCTCATTTGCATATTTACAGTGCATCAAGATCACAAACTTGGTTAACTTCTAACCCTCACTCCTTTGGGTTTTCCTTTGCAGAGATCACCAAACACTTCATTGTGTATCTTTTCTTTTGTACTTATATGCTTTATATTTCACCAATCACTAATCAAAATACAAAAAATATGTTTTATCCCCTTTTGTTTCTTTTTCAAGGTAGGGTTTACAATCAAGAGTATCAAGTCAATGCATCCTCAACTAGAGTTTGAACTCCTCAAGACAAAGTGTGGTTAATCATTGATTTTCAAAAGATATCCATCAATGCATGACCTTTCATCTCAAATCATAAGGTTTCAAGTATCATTCAATTCTATTTTGATCAAAGACATTTCAAGTTGGATGGCTTGTTTCTCAAGGATTTTTCAAAGGTTCATGTGTTTATTTCCATGCCTTCATCAATATGTTTCATCAATCCATGGCATTCTTCATTAAAGTACAATTAAGGGTACATCATTTTGAATCCATATGATCATCAATGTGCTTTGAAGTGCAAGAAAATTCCAAAAGTTGCAAGTTTATTCAAGGAAGTTTGACCAAAAAAGTCAACATTTTAAGCCTAAGTTCAAGACTATACAACTTCCTCATACTTCAACATTTTTTAGTACTTCTTTGGGAAAATGACTCATCTTGACATCATCTCCAACTTCTCTTCACAAGTCAAGAGCCAATTGTGCTTGGAAGACCATCAAACGTTTGAAGACATTATAGGTCATCTTGTGGACTTAGAAATTTTTTTCCTAAGTTCAAGCTTGGCATGCATAACTTCCAAAGATCATTTAAATATTTAAATTTTATGGACGCTTATTTTCTCCAAATATCCCTCTTTATGTCCTCTACAACTTTTCTTTAAAGGTCAAACATCAATTCATGCTCTAAGGACCTCAAATCTTAAAGGCCATTTGTGCACAAAACTAGGTCATGACCTGTTTGACCTAATGCCTAACCTGATTTTTAGGGCCACGAACTCAACTTTCACCTCATTCCATTTTAAACTCAAGCATTCTTTTGGATTGATTCCTTTTGCGTTGTGTTCTACTCCATGAGTAGATCATTCGGCTCAAATAAAATCAAGAAATGCACAAGTAGATTGTATTTAGCCTAGCTATGAACATGACTACCTGAATCTGAGCTATGGTTCATGATCAGTTTTTCAAAATCATCAAATGCTCAATTTTAAGTCAATGTGTGCATGTGATTAAGACCCGATGATGTTAAGTGATGCACAAGGAGCAAAAACGACTTGAAATTGCATAGAATAGCCTGCATTTTGGATGACTTCATGATCAAGGATTGCCACACTTTGCTTGCTCATTATTTCACACAGATTCAAGCTAATTCTCACACATATGAATTCCATTCTCTTCATCTATAAATAAAAGTCTCATTTGCACTGAATAACAAGCTTAGAAAGCCTCCAGAACCCCCTTATCCTTTGTATCTCTATTTTTTTAGTTTTATTTTAAAACTTCTTTCGGTTTTGTTCATTTCCCCCTTCCTTTGGAAAAATAAAAGTGCGGCGGCGACTCTTGTTTTATGAGTTAAGTTAATCAATATCTTAATCTCAAAATTTTCCGCTACAGAAAAATGGCGACTCTGATGGGGAGTAGTCCCTATTGGGTTAAACCTATCTTGTTTATCTGTGTTTATATTATTATCTGTTGTTTGCTGTTTTTTTTTTGTGCTTGGTGATCTCTGAGTGGTGAGATAAGTCCTATACTTGGACTTGGGTGAACTTGAGATAGGATGAGATGTAGTCATGTTTGACTTACGTACAGTTAATCCTTAATAAGCTGACTTGAGATTCCCAACTCAGTGGATGCTCCTTGAGGGTAAATATGTTGAACAAGTAGTTGTGAAGGAATTTTACTTTCAACCTGAGAGCCCGAGAAGCTGAGGACCTTAGAACCCTTTAACCCATCTTGGCCTTATTAGGATGTAGTGCAATGACTATTCAGGTGCAGACTTGAATTAATTGTTATGCGATACTACACTCAGACAAGTTTCTCTTGAGAATATTATTGGCTGACAAGTAGTTGTTTAAGTTGGCAATATCCAAAAGATGGAATCACAACTATGGGAAACTTGTAGAACCTTGTTGTACAGGTGATTTTAACCCCTAGTACATACCTTATGGGCGGTTCTTACGCTTGACTCAAGG